TGTTTCAACTTTGAACAAACCCGGATCACTTATCGAACCCCGGGGGATATCTCTAGATTCTGAAGGAAATATTATTGTCTGTGATGCTGGAGATAAATGTGTCAAGATTTTTTCTCCAAGCGGCAACATCCTCAAAACAATAGGGAAAGGTCGGTTGTCTCACAGTCGACCATTGGGATGTTTGTGTTATGACGGTAAAATCTTTGTGTCCGATTCTGAAATACATGTTATCAAGGTTTACAATAGCAAAGGAAAATTTTTGTATGAATTTGGAAAATATGGGACCAAGGATGGGGATTTAAATCAGCCAGTTTGTCTTGCAGTGGACAAAACAGGGCACCTCCTGGTTTGTTGTGCAGGAAGTCACACAGTACAGGTTTTCACGGTAGACGGAAAATTTGTCACCAAGTTTGGTGAATATGGAAAAGAGTTGGGTCAGTTTTTCAAGCCTTCTTCCGCATTAGTACTCAAAAGCGGTTGTATTGTTGTTTGCGAGTTTGGAAATAACCGCTTACAAATGTTTGAGTAGCTTTAGGTAGACGTTATCTTTAAACACTCTGAAGAACAAATTCCACAAACTTTAGAACTTTTGTAACACAAAAATGTATCGGATTTCCGCCGGGGGTGTCAAAAATAACTGTACATAACGATAACAAGTAATACAAGCTGCAATGAGCCAATTAAAAACTATCATATAATGCGCACGTTCCGAGAGCCGAAAGAAAAGAAGGATAAATTCCAAAAATTACTCGTCAATAGGGGTCGAATCGGGCCTGATCGAGGCAGATTGAATTCTGATTCGTAAAATTAACGGAATGTAAAAATGTATCCTGTCTATTTGATTTAGCATTACGCTTGTATTACACTTGTTTGGCAGTGGATTTCTGCGCACTAAACAATTAACACGAGGCAGCTCAGGCTGGGGCCTTAGATTATGTGGTTGGGCATTCTAACCGTCAAATGGGTAATGCTATGTAAATATTGTCGAAATATAGCTCACAAATACGCAACTTTGATGTTATTTTCTGTTAGAATAAGGTAAGATCTTTGCAATAAAGTGAATTTTACCTGTGATTTTGGAACCGCTTTGAAGATTTAACACTTAGATGTCTTAGATTTGGAGGAATCTTTCAAGCGAAACAAATTTCTGCAAAGTGCGTTTTCCTAATTTTTAATTGATTTACCTTTTCGTCAAATTGTTCCACATTCCACCGTATGAAAGCTCAAACGGAGCTAATGTAATTGACAATGAGGCAGCCAAGGTTGACGAGGTGGCAGCATTACACAAGAACCAATCAGAGCGTGAAATTTGGTGTATGACGTTATCATGTCATCAAACGCAGTAGTTTGTTTATCCGTTCCTAGTACTGGAACCTGGAACGGATTGGAGCGGTGGAACGCCGGAATACTAAAACTCGGAACACAAAATTACTGAACCAGGAACGCATAAAAAAATGCTAAACGCCGGAAACCGGGAACAAAATTTCTAAACCCAGGAACACATAAGAACACATAAGAAACCCTAACGCCGTACATCCGGGAATACAAAAACACATGCTCCAAGCAGGTGAAATTGGTAATGTTTTCCCGCCAAATTATAATTATGATAATGTATCTACTGTACTCAGGCGTGCTTTCATTCCCGAGAGGGACTCCCATATGAAAAGGAACATTCGAATTAAACCGTCGGAACATTCGAATTAAACCCCTGAAGGAGACCAGTCTGGGTGTGGCTCGAGGTTTATTTGACCCCTAAAAGATACCACTTAAAACCGAATAGGCTCGATTACCAGCCGCTGATCAGGAAAGGAGCACACGCTAGTATACTGAATTTGAGAGACCGGCGGAAATCGAGCTTAAAAATAGAAATAAGAGCGTTTCTTTTATTATTTCTTCGAGTGCACCCTAAACGATACTTTGACAGCTAAGAATAGTGGTGCTTTGTCATCAACACTCTAATTGAGACAAGAATCCTTGATTTATACCCCTAATCGAGGCAACGAGCATCTCCGACCTTTTCATATGAAAGTTTCCCCCCCGGGGAGGAGAGGAGCGCTTTCATCGAGAGAAGGAGGGCGTTTCCGCTAGGTGAGGTTTGTTCTCATTTAGCTCGTTTCTTTTTGTTTAAGATTTTCTAAGGGTGATAGTCTGATAGATCAGTTAATTAATCATTGTTTTACCAATCATGTTTGCTAGTTTCAGTCCCAAAAGCCCGGAGAAAAAAGGTAAGGAGTTGTTTTAACTGGCGACTTGTCACCCTCGAAAATGAGATCGAAGATTTCAGGTTTCAGTCCAGTGTACGGATTAACGCTGTCAACTGTTTCAAATGTCCACTCAGAACAATCGATAGACCTCGTCGCGGTTTTGGTTTGACATTTTATTTTGTCATTTTGGCAAGGAAAACCTTATACATAACACTAATTTGATACAGTAATTCCGTTGAATTCTGATCACGAAAAGCTTAAAGCTTGAGCTTACGACCGCTGACCAACGCATTGCCTTTGCGTAAAATTGAGCTAACTTCAGGAAATCCAGGAATTTTTTTGCGTGTCCTGGCTTTAGTATTTCAAATGGTCAGTTTATTATTTATTTTTATTTATATTTTTATGTTTTTTGTTGTTGTTGTTGTTGGATTTTTTTGCGTTCCGAGGTTGTAGTAATGCTGCGTTTAGGATTTTTTTTTTCAACCTCGTTCCCAGGGTCTTTTCCCTGGCTTGGGGGTGGGGTTTTCGTAATTTTGTGTTCCGGGTTTTAGTATTGCGGCGTTCCGGCGTTCCTGCGTTCCACAGTTTCTTGTTTCAGTAATAGCCAAAACACCACAAAACAGAAGCAGCTAGAGCGGTTTTCAATTGAGTGTTGAAAGTAATTAGACAATTACTTTGATTTTGGTTTTGGTTTTACTACGGTTTGAGATTGGCTGAGTAGTCTATTGGTAAGTAATTAGTTTGGTTTTGGTTTTACGACACTCAATTGAAAACCGCTCTATACAAAATACATTACATTGCATTTTATCCCGTGCATGCTCCCAAGGGATAAACGTTCATTCACAAGAGAAAAGATGGGTTTGCTGGTTAATTAGGGGTGACTTTTGTTATTTAAATGAGGGTGTTGGTTGAGTGCTAATTAACCAAGTAAGGTTGCATTGATAACACCGTTTGTCTGTTCTTAAGATTGCAACTGAAAAAGTTTTCAATAGAGCAACAAACGTGCACGGAAAATGTTCTTTTAACGTATTATCATTTGAAGCTGTTTTTAACAATAATCCTGGCCTGGCAACTGGACGACAAGAATCTGTACAAGGGTTTGGGTGAAATATTGCTAATTGAAATATTTTAGCTCGTTTCTTTTGATTCACGGACATAGGGACAAGGGAAAAGTCCAAAAGTTTATACTACGCACACGACGTTCAACAAAGTATTAAAACGAACAAAATGAAAGAAAAACTCTTAACCTTGAGACTGTGAACAATCTCAGTTTTTCTTCCTGTTTTTCATTCTCGTGATTCAAGTACAGCTAAAGAACGTAAAAGAGATTAAATGGAGATCAAATTAGTATACTGTAATTAACTATGACTGTTGAAAGGAATTTACAACTCTTTATTCACATCGTCTGTTTTAGTTGTTAAGAAGAGGGCCGAGAGAACTCCACGAGCCCCGTATAATCGTCAGTGGCTGTGCGATGCCCGTACCACAACCAACAAACCAATAGATATCCATCTCACTAACAAGGCTTTATATTACATGTATGATGTCGTGGTTCAGCGATTAACAGAACAATTGTCGCAGGGAATGCTGCTTGTGGATCCCATTGTTTTTTTTTTCCGAAACAATTATATAAAGCATCAGCATGAATACAACTCCCACGATATGCATAGATTTATTTAAATGAACTGGAATGTTCCTCTATGACTTGTCTTTNTTTTTTTTTTCCGAAACAATTATATAAAGCATCAGCATGAATACAACTCCCACGATATCCATAGATTTATTTAAATGAACTGGAATGTTCCTCTATGACTTGTCTTTCGATCAATTTCTTTCGTTTTGATTCGCTTAAATTTTAGTATAGTGAAAACCTTTTGGTTTTCGGCATTTTGGTTTGCGGCATTTCCCAGGACTAATATTCAAAATCTTCCGGGTGAGCACTTCCCCCAAAGCTGCAAGATATAATACTCTCGCCTTCGGCGTTCGTTTACTCACACCCCTCTCTATAAATCCTCCATCCACCCCAGATTGAGTGGTCAAATATTAGAAGTCCACTTCCTTCGATGACGTCATTACGACACGGAAAAAGAATTGTATCGAAAACAAAACCAAATAAATATTCTAACGTCATGGGTTGCTATGTCATAAACCTGTAAACATAATTTCTCACGCATTTCACGCATTTTTTATGCAAATTTTATGAACTAAAATTTGGATTGTTGACAGATTACCGTCGTTTCTGTCCCTTCTCTACGTTTTAACCGAAGAAAATCGTCAATGGTAAGTTAATAGCGATATTTTGATTGTATGATTGCGTTCAACTCAAGCAAGCTTCATGAAAAAATCTCGTGACGATACAATATCTGATGTTAGTTCATCTCAAGATCTAATATTTCCATAAGGATTTTAAAGACAGCTTTTCTTAAGACATGTTTTTTCCTCTTTAGCTCTCACTTGAGGAAGTCTTCGTAAGCAAGAACTAGGAAATAAAGCGAAGACGATCGTGGTCGACCAGAGCCGAGTTCAAGGATTGCATTCAGTACCGAACTGACGAAACACCGCGAGGTAAATTAACAGAACATGCAGAACAAGCACCGCAGAATGGGTCCGAGGCCGAGTTCTCTAGAAGATCCTTCGAAGTGCATAAAGTTCTCGCTATTTTTCTTAAATGTTCTCTTTTGGTTAGCGGCAATCTTGATCCTCGGTGTCGGTGTTTACATGATGGTCGAAAAGAAGGACGCTTACCAGAATTTAAGCGACTTGTCGTTTGATCCAGCAGTGCTGTTCGTATTGCTCGGCGCAGCATTGTTTATTATAACTTTTTTGGGTTGTCTCGGTGCTCTCCGAGAGAACACGTGCATGCTTTGCTTTTATGCGAGCATTGTAGGTTTTCTTTTGCTGGTCGAAGTGGCTTGTGGCTTTTTGGGTTTCTTCTTCCGTGAGAGGGTGCAGGAAGGTATAGGAGAGAAATTGAGCAACGCAATCAATCTTTATCGCGATCCTGATAAACCCGACCTACAGTTGCTCATAGAAACCACACAGACCGAATTCAAATGCTGTGGAATCGCTTCCTATGAAGATTGGGGATCCAACATTTATTTCAACTGTTCTTCGCCCGGTGTTGAAGCGTGCGGTGTTCCCCGAACATGTTGTAAGACGGAAGAAGATAGAATAAACAGCCAGTGTGGATATGGAGTTGGAAGAATGGATTCCTTTGAGCGAGAGAAAAGGATTTACACCAGAGGCTGCCTGACGACTGTTGTGGACTGGTTCAAAAACAATCTGATCACCATTGGGATCGTGTCGTTCGGCATATTGCTACTGCAGATAATAACAATTTGGCTTGCTACGACCTTGCGTGGCCAGGTGTCAGACATTAAGAGTACCTTCAACAGGCGATAAAGTGAATGGGAGTTAGGCTTTCCAGTTGAATGCCCCAATATCTTCAGCTGCGTGCATTATGCGTTTTGATATTACAAATTTGACCTTATATTCTGCGTATTCGTATGAAATTGTCGGTGCCACCATAACTATGGTGCCACGAAAATGTAAATGTGAATATTCTAAATACAATTTATTAGACTTACTGACTTTCCAAAGACAAAGACCCCAGGGACTTTTGAAACTTTTCTTTGCTGTACAGTATGAAGTCAAACCATTAGAGCTGTATTTCACACGATCGGTATACAGTGAAACCTGA